GATAGGAAAGCTTTATTTACGATAGACGTATAAATCTCCTTATCACTCCGAAAAGTTACATGTCAGTTCTAATACCGTAATTAAACGTTTAGAAATCTGAACACATAAAATTTCCAGATCTGGTCGGCAATAGACCATAGATCCGATCAAATAGTAGCATATAAGGCATCTTTATAGCTATAACATAAATCATTTAGCATATAAAAGCATTTTAGGAATCTTTCCTAAAATAAGCTAGTGCTCGTGTCTATTCAGGCATTCATCCTAAATATAGCAAACACTCATCTTAATCATCGCTTAGCATTCTAAGTTTAAGTCTATAAATTTTCTAAAATTCCTAGTTCGCTTAAACTAATGCTCTGATACCAACTATGACATCCCCAAATTCACGGTCATTTTAAAAATTTTATTTATGCTTATTTAAAAATCAGAGTATCCGTTTTAAAGAATAATATTGCGGAATTTGTTCAGAGAAAACATGATAAATATATTATCAAATCATTTCCGAAGAAATGTATTTTGTTTATATAAAAAAATTGGGATGTCATCGTCAATAAAGAAACATAAACATAAACAGACCTTACGTTCATTTACACTAGTGATTTACATATCCTTTAATCTCTAAGTGTAATGTAGCTTCATATCGACACAATAACTTATTATTCTATTGGCCTATTCTCCTTTAAATCTCACTCCAGATTTAAACTAATCACACCTATGCTCTTATGTTGCTACTTGTTAAAGTGATGATTCCAAAGTCAAGCAGCGATTCACTTCTAACAATTCTATTTTTCCTTCGGCGAAACATAGTATCATTACCGCTAGATTTTAGTCTAATATTTATAGCGACTATTTACGAGCAATATTGTTTTATAAGTGTTAAACAATACTTTTCAACCACTATGGGCCAGACACGAAACACCGGAGGGCATGACCATTTTGGCATTACTTCTGAAATCCAACAACCCTATGCGGCCCTTCAAACCAGATTCCCCGTACCACGAATAGTTAAAAGATATTATAATAACACTTTGTATATTATATATATATATATATATATATATATATATATATATATATATATATATATATATATATATATATATACTATTTATAAGTTCATAATAACGATATTGAACTTAAACATAAGCTATTCTTAAAGTAGGGTAAGCATAACTCACTTACTAGGAGGTTTGGCTAGGAACCGGGCTCTGCGGGGGTAGAACTTCCGAGCTGAAAGCTCTTCTTCTCGGAGCCTTCTGGCACTCCGGGACTCGCCTCTAACATTTAGGAAGTGCTAGGGAAAAACCTTGAGGGTTTGGGGGTGTTGGGAGAGAATGGGTTAGAATTGTGTAAGAAATGAAGTGATTTGCGCCTCTATTTATAGGATGTGAAATTGGCCAACATGACGTGTTGTGAGCCCCTATACGACGTGTTTGGTGCCAAGTGTCACCACCTGGTGGCAAGGCGTGGGGAAGAAGCAGTGGTCAGGATTGTGCCACGTGTCACTTGCAGATTACTCCAAAAACTAACTATCTTCTAAAATCCATAACTTTCGCATACGAGCTCCGTTTTTGACGTTATTTATATCCACGCGTAGGTATCGATGGGATCTACGACTTTGGTTAAGACACCATCGGCTAATTTTGATTTTATTTTTAAAGTTATATTTTAACAGGATTAGACACGTAAAGTCCGTTAAAAATTCATAAGTTTGTCATCCGACGTCCAATTTTGACTGTCTTAATATCGTTGAGCTCCTATTAATGAGATATTCAATTCTCATTTAGGTTGTGTCGGCTAAAAATCGATCAATCTAAAATTCGATTTCGGGGTTGTGCAGTACTTCGCTAAATCTTAGAAAAAATCATAACTTCCTCATATGAAGTCAGATTTGGACGTTCTCTATATGCACGATTTCGGTTTAACGTCTACTACGACTTTTATTTAGATCGCTAAGGCTAAAAATTAATTTATCAAAAATTCACTTTTTACGTTACGCGGTGTCATGCCGGTTTAGCCGTAAAACTTCGATAGGTCATAACTTCTTCGTTATAACTCGGATTTCAGCGTTCTTTATATGTACAGAACCCTTGTGATATATACTATAACTTAGTTAAAATTATTTATTCTAAATAATCTTCTATCAAAAAGTCAATTTTGACGTTTATTGTCTCTAAATTGACTAGCCCGAATCTGCGGCCGTTACATTGTAAGCCCAAAGTTTAGTGAGTTCCCCCAAAGTACCAACACATAAACAAATAACACATATATAATAACAGCATGCAATGTGTCCACAACTAAAAGACTGGATTACCCCTGAGCCCAAGCATAAGTTTGGCTTGCCTTCAGGACCCACAACTTATGTCTGGCTTGCTCCCCGACCAGATCAGTCCTCGGACTGAATACCACCAAGCTCTCAGTACGAGTTTGGCATGCCCTACCCGGCCCTCAGCTTGTATCTGGAATGCTCATGAGCCCTCAGTATGAGTCTGGCATGCCCTACCCGACCCTCAACTCATATCTAGATTGCTCCACGGTTTGTTGGCTACTGCATGGAGCAGTACAACCTCAACCCAACCCACACAATATGTCGACATATAATAAATACTACCATATATAGATAATCATACATACAATATCACAGATAGTCCTACCGATCTACCATACTAGCATATCAAAAGTAGCATGCATATCTACTCCATACTCAGCATATCAACGAATATCAGCTTATCAAACCAATGGGTCGGCCTTGGTGCCTTCGACCCGTAAATACAGTGAGGAAAAATCACCTCGCAAACTGAACAGAAGCTGATAAGTTCCTGACTCCGAATCTCAGCTCCGACTGCCTCCTATCCCATCCAATTAGAATTTCCAAAATACCCTTAAGGTCAAACTTGGTCAAAGTCAATTGGTCAAACTTAATAAGTCAACTGAGTCAACCCAACTGAGTCAACTCAACCGAGTCAACTCAACAAGGCTAACCCAGTGCGAGTACGCGGGATGTACTCCGGAGGTACACATGGCGTACGCGAAGCTTCGCAGTTGACCACCATCGGGGTGGTTGACCGAGTATGCGGGGCGTACTCCCATGTACGCAGGGCGTACCCTCGCAACCTCCAAAATCCATTTAGTGCTTAATGGCTTGAGCACTTAAGTCCACATTTCAGATCCAAGGTTCCAAATACACTCTAGAGTCATAAAGTTTCCAACTTTATGACTTTACATGTCCAAAAAGTGCTTAACACAAGGTCTTTATCCATGAATACCTTCTACAAGATGCATGAAGCAATCGTAACAATTGGGACCTCATTTTTATGGCTTAGGACCCCTCCTAGGGTCTAAAAGGACAGCTCAAAACTTCCAGAACAAACCATGAACAAGATGAGACTTTTGAGACCAAAAAGTAACATAAAACACCCAAAAATGAGATCTAGTAAACATGTCATCAAGGTATGAACTGAATACCTTGAGATGATGGATAAAGGTGCAAGACTTCCAGATCCAAGCCTTACTTCAAGCTTCCAAGCTTTATCACCACCTTCTTCTCCTTATGGAGCTCTCACAAACTCACACTCAACCTTCCAAGGACTCAAAAGAGGCTACGGTTGCAAGGGAACACGATCTCTGCTAATGGAGGCTGAAAAGTAGGGAAAAAATGAGACTTAAGGATGTTTAAATACTTGCCAAACCCTAAAAATTAGGGTTTCCAATTTTAGGAAGTATGCCCAGCGTACTAGGGCGCGCCCTAGTACGCTTAGCGTACACCACGTACGCATGGCGTACTCCGAAGCCATAATTACCAAAATGCCATTAAGGCCCTTATGCTTATAAATTCTTGAACTATGCGACCAAATGAAATATAATTAAATTAAAGGACCGGAAATAGAATTACCTTGACATCAGGCTGTTACACTACAATCATTATTCCATACATACCTACACCCTCAACCTCATACCCACGCTTATACCCTCCACACCAACACATATACATCCGATCTCACAAGTCTACACTGAAACCTACCCCACACCATCTGAACCTTTTCTACTTCTATAACCCACACCCCCACACACCCACTCAACCACCCAATTCTACCCCTACCCATACCCATACCACCCACAACTCCATCCCCACACCACCTCGCCCCATATCCACACCCACTCTACCCCCACCCTATATAAACTACACCACGCACAGCCACCCACCCTGACCCTACCCTCACACCTACACCCACATGCTCACCCTAACCCCAACCTAAGCCCACCCTACATTTACCCTTACTGCACCCACCTCCACCCTTACCCACATGCATTACTCTTTAAAAAGGGTTTAAATTTCATTATCATATTTCACCATTCAAGTTTGAGTTTATATATAATATATTATATATATATATATAATATATATATATATATATATATATATATATATATATATATATATATTAAGTTTATACCAATTTTGAATTTATATTGTTCGAGTTTATATCTTAAATGGTCTAATTGTTTATATAATATTTTTAGATTTATTTTTATTAATTAAATACTTGAATACATACATTAATTTATATCAATCACAACACAAAATAAAAGTTTCTTTTTGTATTATGAAGCTAGCAACAAGAAATTATTAATTTTTCTTAGGTATTCAAAATTTCAATATGAATTTTAATCCCCCAATATTTTTCAAAAATTTCCATTATCAATGGGATAATTTTCCCCACCTATTGAATTCTAAATTTTGGGTGAAAGCCTCGTCAATCTCAGCAGCACCACATACTTCTCTCTCCTGTTCACTTAACATGATTTTCACCTACGACTATAAACCCTATGCACTACCCATCGTAATTTCTCAGATTTATCCCCCTTCCCTATTGCCTCGATGCCCAAACTACCGTCTCCTTGTTCGATTTTAATCTGAACTTCATCGATAATGCCCTAATCAATTTAGTCGGCTGCCTTTTTCTGGTACTTGTTAATCAATTACCTTTTATATGTTTATGAAATTAAGTGTAGGTGAAACAGTCTGGTTCCAAAACAAAATTCGTACATCTCTTGTAAAACTTCGATGCACATGAGGAAGCTACTTGGATCGATGGATATCTTGGAATGGTAGATTTTGCAAGCATCCTCTTCTGGATTCTTCATTAGGTTTGCATACTTGATTTACATTGGTCGCGAGACGTCAAAGGTATCCAATATTTTCTCTAAACTACTTAGTTAATCCCGATCTCCCTCTTCACACAAATCGTTTAATATTATATTTTCATCTTCTCTTCTTGATGTGTTGACTGTTTCCCTTTTTACTTTTTGAAAAGCTCTGGAAAAGAATTAGTGCAAAAACTACAACTGAAACCAACCTTCTAGCGGAGAACTGGAAGTATGTTATGGGCTTAATTTCCAAGGTCTTTTTCTTAATATTGAATTGATGGTATTCTTTTCATCATTTTTATGAAATTGCGCAGGATAACTGTATCAATCAAACAAGTTCACCAATCAACTCTTTTATTCCTTATCGTTTGGTGCATAGAACATGGCAAAACGGGAACAAAATTTTTCAAATGGCGTTTGGTAGGAATGGAATAAGCACAAAAGAAGTTATTGACCAAATAAAATGGGACTAATTGTGCAAGTTAAATGGGGACTAATTTTGCAAGTTTTAGTCCTACCCAAAAAGGTGGAACACAATGGAACTAGAAACGATTGACAAAAAATGCCCTATAGTTCTATTGACAAAAATGCCCTACAGTTCTATTATCTTCATCATACCGTCGTTCATTATTTTTCCCTATTTCATTATTTATTTTTATTATTTCTCCCTATTTCATTATTTATTTTTTATTCTTTTTATGTTGCATTTCGCCTCATCTTCATGTTAGCATATTCAAGCTTGAAAAAAATGATTATACATGTCTTTGTTTTCTGTCTCAAAGTTTTCTTTCCCTGTAAGCTCAAGAGTAATGGATCTTAGTTAATAATTGTATCTACTCTGAATACGATATTTTGGGGAGCTCACTAAGATTTTTTTCTTATAATTATGGATTAAATATTTTGTAGGTATTTATCGGATTGCGAAGGCGGGAATGTACACATACATCAGCAGATTCATGATTTGAAATTTCGCATTGTCTTCTTATTAAATCTGATTTCTGAATAATGGTTTATGAACAAATGGGTTGCCCTGAATGTAATTTTGTTAAAATGGATGTTTAATTATTTTTAAAACGAAAAATTAGGCTAGGATTTTGAGATGTTACAAGGAAACCCTAAGGCCCCTTTTCGAAAATAAGGGGGGTAGAGGCTAGGTTTTCAAGAAACCCTAGCCAAGTCGAAATTTTAAGGGTTGGCCTATTTTTTGATCCATTCAAATTGTGCACAATCAATAGAAAACAATGGTGGATTTGATACCATTGATGGGTTTTATAGGTTATAACAAAACATGTGTGGTGGAAAATCTTAATTCTTAAGTGCACATGCAACCTATAAAGGATTTATGTTTTCTCTAATTGATAACAATAAACAATTGAACATCAAAAACCCTGAAGGAACCCTATTATAATCAAAATGTACATAGAATTAGGGTTTACATACCTCTTGATTATTATAGCAAATAATCACACCAAAATCCTTCTTGAAAGGCTTGGAAAGCAAGCACCAAAAACTTAGTGTCTCTAATGGTTTGTACCCAAACCCTAGAACTGGAATACAAGATAGGAGAGGGAAGCCAAAAATCGGATTTCACTTCTTGAGGATGCTAGGGACGAAAATAGGCTACCCAAGGGGTCCTATTTATAGTTGATAGGAAGAACTTAGAAACCCTAATTTGAATTAAAATAATAATATTTCAAATTCAGGCTATTTTCCAGCTTCCTTATCTTCAGAAGGAATATTCCAGATGCCTTTGGCATCTACTAAAATCGTCCACCCTTGTGGAAGGTTTTGGAATCCCTTCTTATTCAACTATTGAACAATTACAGTTTGACCCTTGTACTCTTAATTAATTCAACTAATCCCAAAATTAATCTCAATCAATTTCTGATTAATTACAAATTAATTAATATTTTTCTAATTAATATATTAATCCTATAATATATTAACAAATCATTTATTACTATTTATCAATCATATAATAAATTAATAAGTTAACCTCTCTCAACAATTGTCATTCCAAACATGTTCTGATTTGAGGGCAACCAAAAAATGACTTTGCTTTCATTTGCAACTTTATACCAATTTAGTTATGAGCTTAAACACCTTAATCCAATAATATCTACGTTTGATTGTGTGTGTGTGTGCGTATATATATATTATATATATATATATATATATATATATATATATATTGTCTGGTAACAGTTGGTTTTGTAGGATCATTATATATAAGTTATTATTATAATAATATTGTGGGATTGAAAACCATATTTGTCTTAGCAGGTTCCCAAACCTGACTCACTCAAATTATGTGCATTACAAGTAATGGTACTAAGGCTGCTGGAACTTGAATAAGATTTAGAGTGAATAAAGAGATAATCTGCAATAATATTCAGGACTGATATGTCTTTACATTGTAACTTATTTTATGTATTGATTATGACATCCTTAGGGTTTCGGTTTTATGAAACAATGTTTGTTACTGAAAATGTTTTATTAAACTGGAACTTTTTGCAAACAAAGACATCATGATTTTAAAGGCATAAAGAAAAGTTTTATTCGTTCCTAAAAAATAGGGGATGTCACATTCTCACCAATTCTATTTAAAAAAAATTTCAAATCCTTCTTTCATCCATTCATTTTGCATCTAAGAACACTATCCACTTTAACAAAAACTAATGTACCATAAAATACTAGTTTTTTTCCTGTATAAAGAATAATACATATGATATTACCATAACTACCATGAGCACTGCTCGTATACTTCTTTCCATCTCTTCTAATATCCTACCAAAACAGACCCTTAAGTGCCCAAATAAGCCACACAACAACGTTATTCTTCAAGGACGTAAATCTTAGAGGGCAACTCTCTTCCATAGATGACCCTACCTCACCCCTTTGCTCAACTGAATACCAATAACCATCGAATGTGTGACATGTTTCACACTAGACGATGATTCATCATGGTCTAAACGAAAGGTATGGGATTGCTTTAAACATCCGTAAACTTTCCATCAACGAGTTCTTCCTTTGTGGCATTATTCTTGAAGTTTTCATTCCCGACTACATTGTGAAAGTTTGTTTCTCTAAGCAATCTTTCATCCTGTTTTGCATTTACAAAGTTAGTATCTTCTTCCCTAAATATGTCATGAACCTCGTTTTCATAGTCATCTTCATCACATGACCCATCACTTTTGTCCTCCACGCCTAATCCAAAGTCTAGGGATATCTGCAAGACCAAAAGGGCTCAAAAGTATTCTCCCCCGACTCTGACCTTACTCCCGTCCTATTTCCCTATTTTAGGAATATTATTAGAAAAAATATGTATGAATTATATATTATTTATGTATACGCTAATGGAGGACCTTGGGCATTTCAGGACGAAAGTGCTCACCCTCGGCCCCGACCTTGCCCCCGCCCCCGCCCCACCTTCGAAGTTTTAAAAACTATACCCCCTGTGGAATATCGGTCACACAAGTTTTTTTTTTTTTTTGACACTCATAAACGAGTCTATTAATCCATACATATATGCATAATCATATTGAAATAAAAGGGCATTTCATAGGCATACAATCTTATGACGCTAATCAAACAGGTTGTCAACAAAAAAATGTTCAACAATCTACTATTAGTACGACTTGATTTATAAAGGTACCAACGAAAGAGATCATGTACAACTTAAAAAACTTCTTAAAAAACTTTTGTAATGACATAAAATTAATAAATAAGCATGAAATACTCAAATCAATAGAAATTATCATAAATCGGATAACAATAAAAACATTAATACATATATTTATCCATGCTTCAAAATTGTATAATCACAATTATATCATAGTGAGAAAGCAACATTGTGCAATAGAGACTAAAATTAATTACACTATTTTCTTTGAAATGAAACTTCTCTAACTAGGATCGTTCGGACAAGCTTCCGTGCACCAACTAATCATTCGCTTCGAACATGAGACTATGTTTTATTTTTTAGAGTCATTGTAGTGGAATCTCCATGACTATAAGGTTAAGTAGGGTCATGATTTGAAGATAAGTCAATGAATTACTCATCATAATTTTCACATGCCTTATCAAACGATCAAACACCAAATGTTAAAACTATTTAAGTTCATAAACGCATCTGAAGGGTTCCTTGTTTTTTATTTCGAAAAGACTTAAGCAAATTCACATTCTGACATTCATAATCATTATTGGCATATTCTCATAAGTAAGCAAGTTTGTTTAACTTAAATATAATTAATGTTATTACGATGACATCTTATCAACTTGGTAACTGTGTTCATAAGAATGCATATTACAGTAACATTTTTATCAACTTATGAATCATTATATTCTATTTGTAGTTATTTTTAATATATGTGTGTGGAGCCAGAATTTACAAGGATCCAATCTCCAACCCATCTTTTGGATAAGCTTACTAGCTTTCAAGTTTTTACACATTTCCCATCAATCCAAAGATCCCAATTGATCTAAAATTTCCTAAAAATCTTTAATAAATTTATATATCTTCAATAAATCTCCCTCGGCCCAAAATATCTTATCTATTCAAAAGTCTCCTGTTCACGGAAAAAAAATGTCAATTTTAGCCCCAAATTCTCATCTTTTCTGCAGAGAAATCCCTCACAGAGATCAGCAGCAGCCACATCAACCAAATTGGAGCAACGGGTGTTGTTCAAATCCGATTAAAACTTGTGTGTTTGGCTTCGATCGAAGAAAAATTGAACAATCGAAGAAAATCGTGAAAAGGAATTGTAAAGTCGAAGCCTTTTGGGACGTATCAAGACCTGCGTTTGTGGAAATGGAGCCTATCACTGATTCTGATCATTTGGATCTCATTTTAGACAAAGCAAACCAAGCCTCTCAACCCATCATCATTGATTGGTATCCAATTATCCATACCCGATCATTCGAATGAATTCATACTCTAAAACACGTAATTTCCGAATGCTCTGTTATCAAGTTTTAAATTTTTCTTTGTTTTCTGTAGGATGGCTGCTTGGTGTAGAAAATGCATATACTTGAAGCCTAAATTGGAGAAATTGGCAGCTGAATACGACACCAAGTACTTTCGTTAACTTTATTCGATTTATACACACTTAATCGAACTGTTTAACATGGCTTTTTTTTATGACTTTACTCTTTAGGCTCAAGTTTTATTGTGTGGATGTGAACAACGTACCACAAACACTCGTGAAACGTGGAAACATCTCTGTAAGTAATATTTCCAGAATTCAAGTTCGATAACTTTGAATATTTGATTGGTTTTGAAACTTTGCAATAACCCAAGTGGTTTTTTACTTTTTTTATGCAGAAAATGCCAACTATTCAGGTGAGTTAACTACCTTCTAATATATTCTGTTGTAAAATATATAGTTTATGTTGAGATTCTACTTTATAGATGTATAATTTATATGAATGTTGTTTTATACAGTTGTGGAAAGATAGGGAGATGAAAGCTGAAGTGATCGGAGGGCATAAAGCATGGCTTGTGATCGAAGAAGTTAGAGAAATGATTCAGAATTTCGTATGATTTCATTTTCATCCTTTGTTTCTGTTCTAACTCTTGTTCATATATATTCTTGATTATCAAATATCAAGTCTATCATCGATGTATAGAATTTTTTTCATATCAAGTAAAAGCCAATACACATATTTTCAGTTTTTGTGATTGATTAATATTTAATGAATAATGAAGATAAATATTACTTAATTGTAAAGCCCAATCAATTTATTGGATTCATGCAAAACCCTTTTTTAAGAAAAATTATTGTTAAATCATAAATGCGTAAGTTAATAAACTTCTAATTAGCATGACAAAGTACTCATATATATATTAAATAAATTGAGAGCTACAAACAAGAAGTCGCTTTGGCCGAGTGGTTAAGGCGTGTGCCTGCTAAGTACATGGGGTTTCCCCGCGAGAGTTCGAATCTCTCAGGCGACGATTTTTTATTTTTTTAAACATGATTTGGTTATCTACTTATCTTTTAATAATACTTTCTAAAGAAGCTCTAATTGATTGCTTAAAAAACGAATTATTTATTTACTCTTTTTTATTATCGATAATTTTGTTAGAAACAAAATCCGTGCTTGAATTATATGTGAGAAATTTTAATATAATTTGAAATTTCTTAAGAACATCACCAATTAAAAAGTTGATCATAAATTTTAAATACATTGGCACTTAGCTAACTTTTTTTATATTATTTATGTGGAAAATAATTTGAACCGATACAAATAACAGGGACGGACGCAG